AGGACAGGTGGAGGAGAGCACTGGCTGGGATCGATGTCTTACTTATAAATAAGCTAAAGCTAATCAGTTTATTCACAAGGCCAGGGCTCCAAGACATTGCCGGACTCAAAGCCTCAAGCCTGAAGCGTGTCCCAAGCTCGCCACGGAGGAGGCGACGCGGGCCGATCCCTTCCGGGCTCAGCAGGCGGGCACGCTGCTTTGAAACGGGCCCCTGTGCAAGGGCCGAGCTCCACCAGCCGAAACGGAGCCTCTGCCGAGCAATGATCTCCAACGTCGTGCAAGAGGGAGACCCGAGAGTGCAGCTGCTTCCTCCCAACGCTGCCTGCACGCCAAACTGTGGCCAAATCCCCCCCCAGGACACCAGCTGCACCCAGCAAGGGGCTCTGCTTGTGGCAGGTCCCCAGAGCGGTGCTCCCTGCACGGCTCACAGGGTGCTCTCCAACGTGTTGTAGTTGTCCTTGAAGCTCTTCAGCTCCAGGAAGTGTTTGGCACGTTTGCTCTTCTGGTTAGAAGGCAGGTAGGTGACCTGGATGGTGGCGGGGTTGGAGATTTCAGGGGAGAGGGTGAGGTCCTTCGCTGCCGACTGGTGCTGCCGCTGGCTGCTGCCTCCCCGGGCCTTGGTCCTGCAGGGAGAGGAAGGAGAAGCACCATCACAGCTGCCGCCATCCCCAGAGGAGCTGCTCCACCATCACGTCCATCTGTCCAACGCGAGGCAGATCCACCCTCGGGACGACAGCCGCTCGCTGTGGTTTTGAAAACCGAGGCCGGTGCTTCTGCAGGCGCCAGGCCTGGAGCCCACACAAGGTGGGCTCAAAGCAGCGAGCGCAAGCAGGAACACAGACTGTAATCACATAACAAACCCAAAAAAACATTAACAGATGGGCTGTGAGGAGTAAGTAAATGAGGAAGAACGGACAGGTATAAACAGCTCGTGTATCAGAGGCTGGGTTTTGCCCCAAAACCCATCTCTGTTCGCACCAAGGCACCACCGCACCCCAGCTACACAGACGGGCAGTAACACTTACATGTTCGCCAGCTCGTTCAGAGCATCCTGGTACTTAAGATATTCCGGTTTCCCAAAGACCTGGGTGCAAACAGAAAAGACCGTGGAAAAACTCAGCTAAGGTTACAGGGTGACCTCAGTCCAGCTGTCAGAGGGGGGTCAGGCGACACGGCGCCGGTGCTTACCCCAGTGCCGTAGCGGGCGCTCTCATACCCATCCAGCAAGGTGTCGATCAAGGCTTTGCGGATGCCTTTGAAGGAGGCGCTGGAATTCCGCAGTTCCAGCAGGTAGGCACAGAAGTTCTTCCCTATTAAAGACTTTGGGTACCGGCCCTCTGTGTGAAATGGGATTTCTGGAAAATAAAAAGGCACAACACAACCGGCTGAAGCACAGGGGTGTTCACCCACAGATGACGTCAAAGTTGGCAGCTAACTAAACTTAAAAATAAAGGCACATCCGCTGCCTCCGTTAGCTGACTGGTCCCTACGTGTGAGCAGAGCCACCAGCCCCAAGTGGGATAAGTGACTGCTGTTCCCAAATGAGGACCTGAAGCCTCACACGAGGCCGCTGGCTGACGCGCCGCGCCCTTATTTCTTCCACGCACGGTCTCTCTCCACCCTTCCCCTCTCACTCTTGCCCTGAGCTCCCTTACCAGATGTTCTGATCGCATCCAGCGCCTTCATCCTGTACAGGTAGTTATAGCAGCCTGGCAAAGAGAAAATCCAAGCTGAAAGCTCTGCAAAACTCGGCAGCAGGAAGGAGGTGGGGAAAGCGGATAGGAGCAGAGCGCAGAGACACCATTTTATCTCATGCCGGCCTCCCAAACGCAACGTTACGACAGGACAGCCAACGAGAGAGGCCAGCGACACAATGGGGCCCCAGGGGAACGACCTGCTGCGGCAGGACAAGCACTGGATGGTGTCTCTGGTGGGCTCCGACTGAGGTGCAGTGAGAGAGGGTACCTTGTGTCTCCAGCTGCAGAAGCCTGCTGTCATCCTCAGCTAACAGCCGGGGCTCGTACTTGATGTCTTGTACCCTCGACAGTCGAATGTCGATTTCTTCTTTTAAATCCTGCACAGTGCGTGTGAGGAAAAACCAAACCACAAAAAAATCAACATTTACAGAGCACTCACTTTGTCTGTAGGATCACAAGGATGGTAACAGTCAGGTCCTGGGGGCCCTCTGAAATAAACCCGCTCCCTCTCCAGCTGCCCGTCACCACACTGAGGTGGCAGCTCCTGGAACCGTCTGATTTCAAAGCAGACCCAGCCTGCCCCTCCGGGCACGGACAGGTCCGCTCCCTGCCACGAGGCTGCGCGCACCCACCTTGGGCGCATGCTGTCCAACAGGCACGTGGGGGCCGCGGCGGGACTTCATGGCGAAGCGCATGATCTGGCGTTTCACGAAGATGAACAGCAGCACAAAGACCTGGAGCCCCACGGTGAGGATGGGGGTCAGGGGTGCCTGAGGGTCTCACGGCCAGCCTCGGCCCAGCCCCACTGACACCCTTTTCCCAACCCCGTGGGCACCCCAGGGTGAGCAACCACAGGGCCCCACGGACCCCCCA